AGGTAAAGACTTAGATTAATCGATATCTTATTCTCTAGTAGAAGTAAGACCTAGAATACTCTGATATATATATAGTGTAGTTCACTAAGCCTCGGGTAAACAGAGTTACGTTATTCACTAGTGCCCTGGTAAACGTCCTAATCTATTCACCGTCCCCTCCGTGAACACTTCGCGACACCCTACGTACCAGTATATCCGTCTTAGCGTAGTCACGTGTCAGGGCACGTGATCCCTCTTTCCTGAATTATCTTCTGGTAACGTCCTGGTACGTCACATACCAGTGCATCCTTCGTGCTGCTGCATGGTTGGGCCCGTTGGCCGTAACAGGGGGGCGATAGGAGTAGTAGGCGCGGGATTATTATTAGCGGTGGCGGGCGGGCGGAGGGAATACTTACTACCCTCGGAATTAAAATAGTAGTTATTATAGTTACCGCTAATAATATTCAGGACCGTAAAATAACACGTGAACGGTCCGTCTTTATTACTATAGTGTTTATAGTCTTTCTATATACTATTTACTAGAGTTATTATAACCGCCTCGCGGTTAGCCGGGCGGTTAAGGTTAAGATTTTTATCTTCTTATAGCGCGAGGTCGCGCTTAACCTATTAATAGCCGTTAGTATATCGTGTAAGTTAGTAGTTAATTAGTAGTTTATAATATACCTTAAGGTCGTGTATAGTTATTAGCGCCTTAGTGTCTTTATAGCCGGTATTATAAATAAGGTTAATAACCTTACTACGGGTGACCGTGTAACCTTCCTTCGTAGGTATCGTCTTCTAGACGCGCGAGCTGCTAGGGGAGGGGGCGGGCGGATTACGGGCGGGCGAGGTTATTAGCGGGGGGGCGGGCGAGGTTACGGGCGGGGGAGCGGGAGATATAGAGCGATCGCGACAAGGGAAAAAAAGTTCGTCTAGCTTAGACGTATAGCCCTTAAGCAGGTAGGGGGATTCTTCGGGCGTGGGCGACCGGGATTCCTACGAGGGGATAGGGGAGTCGGAGAGGGCGGGAGGTATACTACGAATTACGGTTAGTATCGTCGCTTTCTATAGGGTTAACGTGTATATTTATGCCCGTAACTTATTTAGCGGCGAAGCTTTAAGTACCGGAAGCGGAAGAGAGGGAGGGAATTAAAGGAATTAAAAAAAAAGGTTACTTAGCGGCGATACGAGGGATAACGACGGTCGATTAATTAACGGCTTTATTTCTATAAATAGAATGTTTGATATAATAAAGGGAAAACTGTTTTATCGCGATACTAAAAAATCGTCATAAAATCGTTATAGTGTAGAAAACAGTAAATAGCAGTAAAATAACAGGAGGCAGGCGTTTTACGGTTGTTTTCGGTTATTTTTCGGTTATTTGATTGTGGCGGGGCAGGTCATATGACAAGCCCCCCCCTGCTAAGGGGGGGGGGCCTCCCGCAGGGACAAGCTTTACGGCGTTGCCCGTAGGGCAACCTGCTAAGCTCGTCGTTCAAGACGAGAGATCTTCATCGTGAATATGGTTTCTACATAGACAGAATAGAACGACGCGGAGACGTCGTTGGATGTATTTTGTCAAGTCTGACATACTCGGCCGGTAGAACGGAGTACGGAGTGCAAGTTACACGTACAGCCCACAGATCACGACCACCGGAAGACCGTTTCTTCTCACCCTCCCAAGAACGCACTGTTTCATCAACCCCACCCCTCAACCTCCGGCAATCATATCATCCGTCATTTCCATCTATATCATGTTTCCTCAACATGTTTCAACACGAGCCCCGCCGGTTTCCGAGTCGGTTCTCCAAACGAAACGAACGTCCATCACGACGGCCCCCTTTACGTGTACCCATCAGTTCATGACCGTCCACCGTCCACCGTCCACCATCCCCCCACAGATGGCGCCATGCCGCGATTCATGCAGACGTGTGGATTCGCCATCTTGTGACGTACGAATCCACTTCTCACATCGCACTCGAATCCGTTTGTTCCCATCCGCTTCAGACCAAACCACGTCAGCGCACCCAACACCATCGTATCTGCCCGCCTGGTGAAAGTAGTGCTTTTCATTTATGCCTCATGATGCAACTGCAACCTTGTAACATCCAGACGCTCTAGATCTCCATCTTCAGGACGAATGTACATGTGCTGCAGTTTGGACCCTCCCTAAAACGCCAATGCTACGTAGGCATCCCCATAACGTAAACAAAGCCACTGTAGTCCACCATAGAAAAGAAGAGGCGGCGAGGGGTCTACCAGTCCCTCGCATAGAGCTGCTCCTGCCTCCCCTCCTCGCCAGCATCATCCCCATCGAGGCCCTCCTCCGCCTCCCCCTCGCCCTCGCCCTGATCCTCCTCATCAACATAGTCATCCTCATGGATATAGCCCCGTAGTTCTCTCGGATTGCCCGCCGTCTCGACCACATCAAGCCGCCAGCCGCGATCGCCCGCAAGTTTCTCCACCTCCCTCCGCATCGTCTCCACAAGCTCAACATCAAGCTCCATCTCCTCCAACTCCTCGTCCGAGAGGGACCAGTACTCGCCGCCCTGCGACTTGGGCGTCCGGCTCGCCAACATCTCCCCCTCGCCCTCGATGTAGTACCGCCCACCGGGGAGGTGATCATGGCCCTGGCGCGGCAACTTGAGCTCCTGGCCCGCCTGGCCATCGGGGCCCGGTTGACCCAAGACGTTCCGCCCGCCCACAACCACGCCGCCGATAGTAATCGGCTCGTCCCCGTCGTAAAACGCCCCCGACGCGATATCGGGCCGCTCGTTCTCCGCGAACAGCGGGTCGCGCGGCGCGCCGTCCGACGATGACGGCTGCCGGGCTTCTTCGGCTTCGGCTTCGGCTTCGGCCTCGAGCGTCTTTTGCCGCCGCCGCCACGCCGCCTCGGCGCCCGGTTCGTCCGTGTCGAGGACCAGCCGGCAGCTGATGGGGTTCGCGCTCGTCTGCGTCGGCGGGAGGAAGGCCACGTCGTTGCAGAGCCGCGGCGTGTTGATCACCATGAGGTAGGCGCACGTCGTGACCTCCTTGATCCAGCCGATGCGGTCCGCCTTCATCCCCGGCACGCAGTGGTACTGGATCTCGATCGTCCGGTCGCGCCCCGTCAGGTCGCACAGCGTGCCGCCCTCGAGACGTTGGACGAGGTACCGCTGGTCGCCCTTCAGCTGGATGTCCGTGGTCATGGACGACGACGACGACGACTCGGGCCCGGAATTCGCTTCGCCGCCGTCTTGCGGCGATTGCTGCTGGCGTTGCTGTGGGTGGGAGGAGGCGGCAGGCTTCGTGGCCCGGCCGAGAACGAATTGCATGGTTTCCGGGTCGGGCACGGGCGGTTTGCCGTTCGGTATCATGGGGAGGGCGTGGAATTGGACCACCTCGCGGTTGTAGCAGAAGCTGTAGCTCCACCAGCCGGACATGAAGTACAGGCACTGGCCTTCGAGCGCGCCGAGGAGGTCCCAGCCGGCTTCCGAGGCTCGTGCGAGTTCCCGTGCTTCTTCCCGTTTGGCGAGTTCCGTCGCTGTCTCGTTCGGTGCCGTCGGCGGCTCGAAAACGGGTATGGAGCAGAGGTAGCTTGTGTCGCCAAGGTGCACCAATTCGTATGTCTCCTGGGTTCCCCCGTGGCCGTGAGCATGGCCGGGAGACCCGCCTATCTCTCTGTCATCATCGGCACCAGCTTCCCGGATATTGTGGAGGAGATCGGACTGAGAGGGGAAGTCGGCGGCGTATGTGGAATGAGGATGTAGAGGGTCGAGGAGAGCTGCCGCGTCATGCTTGGAGATGTAGGATTCAGAGAAGACGACCTCGTACTGTGAAAACACGGTTAGGCTTCAAAAAGGTTGCCAACCTAGCATGTGTAACAGTGGAGCAGGAGTTCGACTCACCTGGGGATAGGCGACGAGATCCTCGTGAATGCTGAAGCCGCCCTGGCGAGCGCTTGCTAGCGGCGCAGCAACGGCGAGGAGGGCCAAGTGGAACCGGCGCATGGTGCCGCGGTGAGTGAGTAACGCTCTAGCTCACATAAATGAGTATAAAATTTCGTCAGTACATTGGCCTGAAGCGTTGTCCCGAATTTCGTGGTGCCTGTATCTGTATCTTTTGATGTCCCGCTCAAGGCCGGACCAGGTGTCATCATGAAGGCTGGGGGAGCCAAGAGTAATTCATTGTCCGCTCAGCTCAACGGCTTGCCATGTGTCCTTTCCGATGTTCAGCCGCCATTACTAATATGTTGTACGTCATTCCACCATGGTACGTACTGGTATGTACCCAGGTGGGTCGTTTCCCACGGCTATATTAGTCAGAGGCATCATCAACCATGGGCCCGTCGAACCAGTCATATAAGCTTGATAGTCTTCTCCTCCCAACCTTCTTCGCCGAATAGAGGCCAGAGCCCGTCATTCTGGGTATAGTACCCGATTCCTATCCTCTTAAATTTATCCAAGCCATCTTCTCCGTCTTCCTGCTGCTGCAAAACCAGAAACCACATCTCCTCAGGCCAAGCCCGTTCCGTCGACACAAGTTTGCTCTTCTCCCCTCTTGTCCTCTTTCGCACACTCATCTTGCGAGTATCGAGGCGGTCGACCCAAGTATGCAACCACAGCGCAAAGTATCGTTGCCGGGAATCAAAGCACGAGCCGCCGTCGCCGTCGCCGTCGCCATCACCGTCCTCCGACGTTCCGCAAACGCACTTCCCCTCCAACCAGCAGTCTAGAGTCTTGGAACCCTCTTCGAGCCTGCAGCCGGAGCTTTTGGTGCTTCCTTCGATCCAGGGCTTTCCGCCGCCGCAGCTGCAGCCACGGCGGCGATGGCGGTGGCACAACGTCTCGTCGATATCCAGGACAATCCTGGTGACGAAAGAACCGTCCGCGCCGCGAGCGAGAGGGATAGGTCGCTCATCCTGCTGATCCACGTAGAGGTCGCCCGCAAACTGCCCGCCCAGGTCCGCGCTGAGGATCGCGAGCTGGATAGGGGCGAGCGGCCCCGTCACGACGATGGACCCGTGGTCGACGTTCCCCGTCGGGGCGTCAGGGTGAGTGGGCCGGCTAACGACCTGGTCCATTGAGATTTCGGTCTTTAGCCTCTTGGTAACGTTATGACCGCTGGTCTTGTAGCCGGCCTGCTTCCTGGACCACATGGACGACGTCTGGAAGGCAATCCCGCCGTTGATGGAGGCCCAGGACCACGTTGGCGTCCCGCTGGCCAGGCGAGTTCGGGGCATCAGGTGTCGTCTCGCCATCCACTCGGGCATCCCGTGTTCCAGCTCCGCCTGCTTGGGTCTCTTGTCGACAGCCATCCAGACGAGGGCATCAACGAGATCGCTCCGCCAGAGTCCCGCGCAGTATTCGTCCTCGCCATTCGGATCTTCCTCGGTGGACTTGAGTAGCAGTCTCGCCACCCCAGCGACGCCCATCAGCTTGTTGTCTTCCGGGTCGGAGACGGAGCGCCACGAGTAGTCCTCAACGACTTCTTGCCAGGTCTCGTGATGACTGAAGCGTTCCCCATCACCCAGACGCATAAGAAGACGGCCGACGGAAAGGATGCCGTCGATGTCCACCTCTCGCGTGTGGCCGCATTCGCAGAACATGCGACAGTTGCACTCCCAGCTCATCTCTGTCCCGAGGAAGCGGAGTTTACGGGTCGGCATGATCCTTTCCTGCAAGCACCACCCTCGCCCGTCGAGGACCGTCGAGTCCGGGCCGGCTTCTTCAAGGCCTTCATACCCCCTCCACTCCATGGCAGCGAAACGATTACCGTTGGGGGCCCTCGCCGGGGAGATCCTCTGCCACGAGTTCTTGCCGTAGTCTTGGGGGCCTAGAAAGCCCGCCTTGCAGTTGACGGCCGCCTCGGCATATATCGTGAGGTACGAGTTGCCATAGGCGTTGTCCATGGTGGATCCTTCCCGCACCCAGTCTTCGTGAGCCTCCCTGTCCTGGTCGAGACTTGTGTACGGACGTGGCTGGATGATGCAGAGCGAGTCGACCCATAGGTATTCGATCCCCAACTCCCTGCACACCCTGACCGTGTCGATTATGGTTTGTGGCAGCTGCTGCAGGACGATCCCTCGGTCCTTGTCCATGTGCGCTTCGATGTTGTCCGCCGTGGTCCGTAGGATTTCTTCGTTGCTGACCCCCCAGCGGTAGCTGAGGCATGCGTATTGGAGATTCTTCTCGCCCTGTTTTCTAACGCTATTGTTGATGTCGCGTGTCTCGATTAGAAAGACGCGAGTGCTGTACTTTGCGCCGAGGCTGAGCAGCCGCCGGGGCAGGACATCAGATGTCTGGCGGCTGCAGAACGGGTCATTGTCCACGCAGTATGAGAGCCAGTGTCTCATCCGTTCGAAAGCCATATCTTCAGTCGTACTGGGCGCTACGACCAGGCATTTTCCGAACATGGTCTCAAAATCCGTCTTTGGCTCGTTCGTCTCGTACAAATGGGTGTCTTTTCCGCATGCGTCAGAAACAGCAACAAAGAAGAAGAAGCCGAGTGGTGAGTCGGGATCTAACGCCTACCACTAGGTTCCTGCATGAATCGCAATACCGTGTTTTCCGCAATGGTGTCTTTGTCGGTTTCCTCGAATAGCTTGAGGACCCCGCCGAAATTGGCGTCCGCCGCGATGGATTTGCGGTCCTGGCGAGTTTGGGTCCATCCTGGGCGGTAGGCCTCGGCTGCGTCGACCACGAGCCGGCAGTTGAGACAACCTCTGGCCCTCGAGCTGAGGATCATATGTAAGCTACTCGGCGCTGATCCCACCGCGCCTGCACGCACCAAATTGTCCGGGCAGAAGAGCATCGTGCGACGTGCAGTGGCGCAGGTGGCAGGAGGGATAGTATGTCCAAGTACGCTTGTAGGCTGGGGTGGGTGCAAAGAGATGTTGCTGGATAACTTAAAGCTGCTGTCGAGAACGCGGATTTTCTTCTCGCACGTCCTCCTTCTGGGAGCGCCTACAATAAGTACCAGGTAGCCTTCGGCATGGTGTTGTTCTCTTGACCATCTGGGTCGCCTGTGTAACTGGTGCTGCACACCTCGGAGCTTCGGGATGTCTATTCTATTTCTTACCCCGCTCTCTGTTCTCTCGGTCCCTGGATTCTGTAATAATCTGCATTTATACTGCATATATAGCTCTCTCCCCACTGTTACTGAGTCCCCTTACTTGCAGGCAACGCCATTCCGTATATACGACATGCATGATACGATAAAGCACCATGCATACTCCTGGGAATACGGCCCATGCCGCTTACTATCGAACAAACAATAGCCTATGGTGTTTGATGGTGGGACTCCCGCCTCACTTTAAGGAAATAAAACTGGCCAATAGCCGGTTTCTTGATGCTCCTTAATGACCATACAAAAGCGACTACACCGAAGATTGGACGTCGTGTCGAAACATCGGGCCAACCAACGTGTCAACCCAAAGTTAGCCTAGCCCAAGCCCAACAGGTTTAACCCACCACCTCTGAAATGTTATAATCAGCTGTGCCGACTGTCCGGGCAAAGAACTCTCGCTCGGAGGGTGGAAAAACACAACTCGACGGACTAAGCGGGGACGGGTCTAGACGTGGCCTGTTAGGCTTAATTGGGAAACAACTGAGATTATTGAGGACAAGGACGTCATCAAGTACGAATACATGTTTGCAATATAGACACCTCATGCTTTACATACCTTGTATCAGTCCGAAGTACGTGTAAAAGGAAGACGCAGATATTCCGCGACGTCCATGTCCCACCAAAGACGCTGCGAGTTTGGTTTCACTAGCGAGCCCCTCTGTCTCTCTGGGCAAGAAGTCATCGCATCTGGGACTGATACGGACGGGCGTAGCAAAACTTTTCGGTGTGGCATGCATTGAATGGAAATCTTTCGCTGGCAGAAGCATCTGTGTTCCCACCGAACGGCTTCGTACGAAGTATGTACACTTACTGCCACGGCAGTCCACTGGCGGTCCGACGGCAATAGCAGGATCTCTCCCACACGCATCCCACGCATCTGCTGGAGCACGTCGTTCCTGTACGAAGTACCCTTTCCCATTCATTGTCCTTTGTACGATGCCGTGTCTTGACGAAAGTGGTGACCGGAAGAAAAGTATCACGGATGCCTCGTCGGCCGAAAGCGGTCCTCGGTGGAGATGCAGGCTCCGGCGGACTCCCCCAGGACTCAGAAACGAAGAGGCCACTCTTGATACTAGAGAGAATTATTACCGTAGGAGAAATCTAATTTTATTAGAGGAAAAGAATCCTATGATAGAGGAAGTCCAGAGCATCTAAGTGACGTGACCGTCCGTTGGGCTCGCTGACCGTTGATGCCCTGGGCTTACTTGGGCGGCTGCGACTCTTTTCGGCCAATACTGAGGTATAAGTGACTTTATATGGCAGGTGGGCTATAGGCATTGGGAAACCGAAGGAAAAACAGTGTAAGGAATCGGGCGTCTGTAGATTATACGTTGTATACCTACACGTATCTGTACTCCGTACTCTACACTACGGTAGGTGGTACAGCGTCTGTACCGGCGCTGAACACCCCTGTTTCCCAGCTAAGTACCTAGGCTCAGGTGCGCTAGCCAATGTGTCGCAACCCCCTAGCACCGGCCTACAGGGATTCCCACACTAAGGTACTAGCCGGATAAGGTTAAGATTTACCTTAGGCATCCAGACACGGGGGAAAATGCCTTAGGTAATACGGGTATATATATCTGTCTCTTCGTCCTACACCTACCTATTCCGTACAGTACAGTGTCCTTGGCCAATCTGGGAGCCAGATAAAATACCTAAGGTAGGTATGTGTTTTGTAAAAGTAAAAGACGAGTTACATGAGATGATAGAATAGTGCCTTAGGCAGGCAGACGCTCTGTGCTACGGTATAGCCATGCCTCCCCGCGAGTTAAGTTCTGCAGCTAGGTACCTTACCTAAGGTGGTCGAGGGCGATCAGTACATAAGGTAAGGTACCTAGCTTAGATACCCGTAGTACCCAAAGGCGTGTTAAAGGTCGTTCTCCTTGACTTCCTCTATGTATTGTACACGTGTATCTGTGCCAGCCACCCACCACTGCTAGGTACCTAGATACCTTACCTTATACACGAAGTACCGCTATCCGTAAGGTATGGAGTATAAAATAGGTATACCCAAGGTCTATATACTTAGCTCTACGCCCCTGGTCCTGGGCGGGATCCTCTCCCATGCAGTCAGTGCTTCACAACCACTCCCATCCTCCCCTTCTCCTCCACCCACCATCGACAACTCATCCCCTTCCCACCCTCCCACGTCTAGATTACTCGTCTAGATCAGTCTCCTAGAACAGCAACCTTAGTACTCCTACAACTTCCGCTACGCTCATGCAGCCGCCGCCGACGGAGACAAGCATAGCCTCGCTCGCTTGACTGGTTGCCCGATGTATGTATAGCATATCCCCATATCGTCTTTAAACCCACATGGGCACGTTCTTCGACCCTCTCTTTGTCTGATTGCCCCTCCGTCATCTTCATCACTTCAAGTCGAAAGATACACCCACTGCCTTTGTCGTTCTTCTTATCCCCCGCTACCTCCGTCGTGAGAACTCGAGGGAACTCGAAGAAGAAACGGCTTTTTTCTTTTCTTTTCTTTTTCCCTTCTGGTCCCCTTCCGATCGGATCGAAAAGCCGACTGGGGTTGCATGCGTGACCTCGCCATATTACCCACACGAGCTTTCCATATCTACCCTGTTCTCCTTCCACCCACCCCTCCGCCTGGTGGCCATTGCTTGCACCAGCCATTACTTATTTCGCATCTGTACAATTCGTGTTATCGATACATCATACACCTTATCATATACGGCGCAACAGCAACGAGAGTACTCCGTCCATCACGGCTGGTTCTCAAGCTTGAGGCTCGATACAACTCGCCTGCAACCCGATCACGATCCGTCTCACTACACTACAAGGCCCGGTCTACAGGGAGACTCGAGTCATCTCCCCGTCGACAAGATGGAGCACCACATGGCCTGGAGACAACTGAAAGACATGGGTCAGATGGGAGAGGCGCTTCTTCTCCAGAACTCGCACTATACTTCGGCCCTCCTACACTCTGTATCAACACCAAGTGACGGGTTTGCCTCGCTCCCGCCTCAAGCCCTTCTCGCCTCCGACTCCGTCCCCGGCGCACGTTCCTCAAGTCAACAAGCCGGGAACCCCGCATCCACATTGAAGCGCTGTGGCTTGTCTCGCAGCAGGTCATCTATGGGACATCCCTCGACGGCGTCCAGTACTATGAAGGTAAAACAAGACCGCGTTGTCTTCCATCGTGCGACCTCATGTCACTGACAGTGCTCCAGGATCGGGACAGCACAACGCAACAACCCGTAAAGCGTGCGCGTGTCATGTCGCAGCAGCACATGCCTTGGTCTATCTCGTCCCAACCCGTTTGGCAAAGAAACTTGTCCGGCGGATCCAATAGCGTGGAACCCTTCGCCGCCTTCGTCGCCGAGGAGCCTGCGGCTCGCCTGCCGGCCACCGACCCTGCCAACGCCAACATGCACGCATTTGCTTCATCACTGCAACGGGCTCCATCTTCACAGCAGACATTCGACCTCCCTAGCGTGCAGGAGCACGACTATGGCCGTCTTGGTGTCCAGTTTGGAGGACCGGACGTTGGCATGAGCCCCCTCGACTTCCTCAAGGCCCAAGACGACGGTCCCTCTTCACCAGGCCTCATACCACCTCCTCCACAGGAGTTCCCGGGCTCCTACGACAGCAATGGACGCTTCAGTTCCAGCCGAGTGATTTCGACGTGCCCCTCGATGACTTCGGGTGTGTCGGGCGTCGAGACAATACCCCTGAGCCGTGATGGGAGTATGTGCGACAACCAGTCGCTGCCTGGGGCCTTCCGGATGGCCCGTCTCGATTCCACGCAGTCACTGCGCACCGACTTTACGGGCAGCGACGCCTTCTCCTTTAACTGGCAGGATGCGATCACTGGGGACGAACGGGACGACCTTTTTCGCTTTCCCGAAAACGGTAGCGATCGTCCCACCGCTGATTCTTCTTCCCTGTACCACTTGTACGCTTCATCCGCGCCGACCGGCCAATTCACTCTGAACGGCTGCGGTGCCGGCATGGAGAGATCCATATCGATGAGTAGCGCCATGTCGTCGCAGTCCAACGCAGGACGCCGGGCCAGGGAGGCTCGGCAGCGGCAGATCAAAAATGCCCAACGAGCCCGGCTACTGCCCAAACCACAGGCGGCAGCCAAGGCGTCCGAGGCGTCGGCAGCCCGGAAGGATGGAAGAGTAGCGATGGCCAAGAACGGCGGCTCCTCACGGTCGAAGAGGGTGGCGAAGGTGTTCTGCGAGACGTGCAACGAGTATCCCGGCGGATTCCGCGGCGAACACGAACTCAAGCGTCACATCTTGGCCAAGCACCAAGGCGTGGTCAAGAAATTCGTCTGCCGCGACCCGGCCACGGCGGGCATCCCGTCCACCGTCCCGATCGTCATCCCGCTCGACGCGTGCAAGAACTGCCTGAACAGGAAGGAGTATGGCGCCTACTACAACGCGGCGGCCCATCTCCGGCGAACGCATTTCAACCCCAAGCAGTCGAGGGGCAAGACGGAGAAGAGAGGGGGCAAAGGGGGCGGCGACTGGCCGCACATGGACGAGCTGAAGAAGTGGTTCGAGGAGGTGCTCGTCGAGGCGCGCAACGACACCGAGGCGGGCCCCGAGACCGACTCCGACGCCGAAGGCGAAGCTGAAGTCGAAGTCGAAGCCGAGGTGGACACTGAGGACAACAAGCCCGAGATGGTCCTGTCCTCCAGTGCGGACACGTCGTTCGCCGCCGGCAATGGGGACGACAACTACTTGTACGGCGCGGACGGTGTCCCGGGGTACTCGTACTCGCTGACGTCGGACGCGATGATGTTTGATCCGTCCATGACGAACATGGCGAGCGATGCTGAGTTTTCCGCCGGCGCGTTTTCTGAAGAGGCCACGCCTTGGTCGTTGCAAGATGAGACGTACTATATTCCATTCGCCTTTGAGGCGTCTTGATGTATTTCGCCTCTTCCTTTTTTTTCTTTTTTTCACTTCGTCTTCTTCTTTTTCTTCTCTTCTTCTCTCCTCCTTCTCCCTTTTTTGTCGTCCTTTCCTCCAATCTTGACTTTCTTATTATTTACAGATGGCTATTTCTCCATGATTTAGTTTGGTTGCTACCGTCGTTGAAACAAACGACGGGCATTTCCTTGATGTACCATTTCTTCATGGCTTTTTTTGCAAGATTTTACTCGCTTTGAGACCCCATGTTTTCTGTCTCTGTATTTCCTTTTATTTCCTTTTATTTCCTTTTATTTCTTCTTTCTTTCTTTCTTCCCTTCTTGTTCTTCTTTCCGTTTTCCTCCTCTTTGGTCAGTTTTCTTTGGGCGCGGATACGTTCTACACATCTCGACTCAGTGGGATGCGGTGACAGCATCCCACACTTCCAAGGAGTCATCTGCCTCGATTGGGTGTCAATCAGGCAATCCCTGGTCCCACCTCGGGGCCACCTGAGAGCGGGAGCATGCAACGTTTATTATACGACGGGAACGAGGCTGATATACCAGCATCACGACATGACACGATATGGACGGAGCTCAGACCGGTGTGCTGAGCATAGTCAAACCGGCGAGCCCTGTTTTCTTCTTTTCTTCTTTTCTATAGGTTTCTTTTTATATTAGTAGTATTTTTATTTTTTCCCAGCGAGGAGTTTGGGGGATCGAGAAATTGCGCTTCAACGACATCAGAACAATAGGGAAACGGCATCGGGGGCATACAGGATACCCCAGCCTGTAGTTTCGGTTTGCTTTTTGGGGTGTACGACTTGGAACAGTCCTAAATGGACGTGATGGGTGTTCATTATCGAGCGATTCTTCCAGTTTTAGGAATGGGCTTACTCGCTGAACTTTTGTTTATTAGTGAATGACTGGTTATACGTTGGCTGAGGTGGTTTGACTTTATATTCGTTTGATACGATACCCGTCCCGCCGTAGCTCTTCCCGCAACCTACAGCTTCGTCTATTCCCGACCAATATCCAGTTTAGACCGGGTTGCCTCCCACCAAATTTAGTTGTGATTGACTTCATCCCGCCCTCCACGTTGTCCCCCCACGGCCGCGACCCCGGCCACGAGGGCGTTAACGATATCGCGTAATTGATCGTGTGGAAGGTAATCAGCCAGGTGTTGTGTGCAAGTATCTGGGTACAGATAAAACGAGTGGCGGCTGGTGACGGGTGCTGTTAGTAGTGCCCTAGTCGGAATGAAGGTCGTCCCCTACCTGAATAAATTTCATACATCGATTAACTAGTCTTTTCCTTTTCCCTTTCCCTTTCCCCCCCTTTTTTTCTTCTTTTTTTTTACTGCTCGGGCTGCGAGTCCTCTACTTGGCCTGTTCGGCCTATAAACGCCGGTTCCATGGCGTTCCGTATACGAGAGGAAGCGTATTGCGGGACCTTCTCGATAAACAGGTATATACACTCACCTACGACGTATATGAAACTGATCACGTATGGGCTGTGGAAGATCAATGGCACGTCGGCGTGTGGCGCCAGTAGCCTCTGCCACTCGTACTCCTCGTTTGCAACAGTGTAAACATGGCGGAGAAACATGCCAATAGTGAACCAGCCGACCGAGTAGACGAACCAAGGAAGACAGTAGAGTAAGGGTTGAATATCCAACAGATCGTTGTACAAATCCATGTACAAGGACACATTGGTGTTGATGTGGCCCAGGTGGCACTTGACACTTGTATCCCTTACCTTAGGCAGCTGTGTTGATTGCTGGTTTGGAAGAGGGGAGAAAGTGACTGCCGTGACTCGTGAGGTTCGGGATCCCGGTCTGAATTTTGTTTCTTATTCTAGCGTCCAATGTTAGTGATATCAGGTAGTCACCCGGAGGACTACGATCTGGTAACTTACCTCTGGTCGTTCACTGGTTGTGGACTTGTGGTCTAGGTATGCCTGACTGTCTTTCAGGCACATCTAGATCCTTCCGGTTGGGAGGGTTGTGTCTTTTAAATACCTACGCGGGCGGGTGGTTATACGTTAGAGCTCGTACAGAGATGTGAATAACGTAAATATAAAGTTCTAGGACTTACGACATCTGACTAGTTAGTATGAAAGCCAAAGGGCCAAACAAGTATGCGCCACAATAGCGACCACGACCTTCTCGGTCTGGAGGCATGGACAGTAACACCGAGACTACACGTATTCGTAAAGTAATGCTTATTCAAGACCGTGGTTAGGCTGAGGTTTGCTTTATGTAAGGCGTCGCTGGGCTAAGGGCTAGTGTGGGCCCCTTCATAGGCCTTGGAGTATACATTATTACTGATTATACTATTCTTTTTTATAATATCTAATACTACACTGACGCTGGCCCGCTTTTTTTTCGGACCACTCTTGGCAGCCTGCGTTATTCGTACCAGTACTACCGCCCGAACCCGTTTTACGGGATTTTGCGGTGTTTTTCGGGGGACTTACTCCCACAGTATGTAGCAGTACAGCCCGGAAAATTTCGGTACTTTCCAAATATATATGTTGCACAGTAAGTCATGAGGTACCTAATTAAGGGCGCTCCGTGCGGATCTCCTATATAACTAACGGTTAGACTGTGCTGCTATGTACTATGCCTCCTAATAGGATAAAAAATAGGATAAAAAATAGGCTATAAAATAGAATATAAAATAGGATATAAAATATAATAAGATAGAATAAAAATAGAATAAAAAATAGAATACAAAATAGAATAAAATAAATAATAGAATATAAGTAGAATTAAGTCTAGAGAGAGTACTAATAGAAACTATATAAACTATAGGAATAAAATTAATTAAAAAGAAAATAAAGAAAATAAATATAATAAGAATAATATATAATATAAAGTAGAATAAGGTTAGACGTAACGGATAAGATAAAGATAAATAAATACGGATAAGTAAAAATAAAAGATAATAAATAAAATTAAAACTTAAAATTCGAAAGTATATTATATATAAATAAATAGAAGATAATAGAGAAGATAACGAATATTATATAAAGATAAATTATAAGGAATAATATAAGATATATTTAGTGCTATCGAATAAGCATAATATAGTATATAGTACTATAATAAAAATAGATTAAATATAATATAATTCTAAGGAATAGGATATTTAATAAGAAATAGTTATTATGACGACTTCCGGTCCTTTATAGTATAGCGGACGATAGGGGACTGGCGTCGAGGTTTTAGTTTAAAATAAGAAGAGGATATTAACTAAAGAGCAGTAACTATCGTTTCTAGAGGTCTAGTCGTAGTTACGTCGTAAAGACTAGGCGTTTTCTTTATTAGGTAGGTTTAAGCGTAGAATAGTAGTCCAGGTAAAGACTTAGATTAATCGATATCTTATTCTTTAGTAGAAGTAAGACCTAGAATACTCTAGTATATATAGCTTATTAATCACTAGGTCCCTGGTGAATAACCCTATAACGTTTACTAGGTGTTTACTTGTTATTCACTTCTCCGTTAGTGAATATTCGTGAAGTAGGTTGCCCACCCAGGTGGCCCCTATAGCGCCCTGGCCTACACTTATTAGTGGTGCTAATATATCCTTCCCAGCGGGGTCACGTGCCGGAGCACGTAATCCCTCTTCCTGAGTCATCTTCTGGTTACGTCCTGGTACGCTAACCGTCCTAGTACGTTATATACTAGTGTATCCTTTATGTTGGTGTATGTTAGGCCCGTTGGCCGTAACAATAGTATACTCTATAAAGTAAAAAATAAAAGCTAAATAACAGAATAAAATATAGGTATAAGAAAATAATATATTATAAGTATAAAATATAAGAATTATAGGTTTAGGTAAAGAAAAGTTAATATAAATATAATATAATTCTAACTCTATTATATAACGCTCTTTTTATATTATATATAAGGCATAATTTTATTATACCTTAAAAAAGCATACTATATCTGTTTATCTATAGGTTTATTCTTATCGTAGATCTTCGTAGTTCTATAGTTTTAAACTATTTTAGAAACTATTCGAAATAAATAGTCTTTATCTATAAGTAATAATACTTATATATATTACTTAGTATATTTATCTATATAATATAGTTATATAATTAGGCTATGTATATAGCCCCCCGTAAAGGCGAGTATAGCAGCCTTACCTATAGGGTAAGCTACTAATTAGTATTAACGCGTTCGCGGGGGGTATAGCTATTATTTATACCTATTACTTAACGATAATACTATTTACGGCCGGGAGATAGTAGAAAAGTGATATAGGAAAATAAAAGAAGCTAATACTAGCTGCTATAAGGAGGAATTAATAGTTAATTATAAGTGATAAAGCGCGATTAGTATAAAAAAATCGGCTCTTTACAATATGAAAGAAATAATAAAAAAACATTATTATACCGTAGAAGGAACTAATAAATAGCTATAGAAATTAAAAAGCAGGCGTTTTATAGTTATTTTCGGATATATACGGTTATTTAGTGGTATAGAGTAGGTTATAAAATTATAGCCCCTCCCCCCCCCCCCCCCCCCCCCCCCCCCCCTTGGGGCAACCTGCTAAGCTCGTATAATTGTACTTAGTTATATCTACTTTATAGGCTTTATTACTCTAGAGGCTAGTCTTTAGAATCTGGTATAATAAGTATTAGGTTAGAGAGGAAATACTCTATGGAGTATCTAGGTAACTGGATCATTAACCCTTATTTTATAGCTAGGAGGGTCAGCCCTGGGAAGATGAAGGCCCTTCTACCTATTATATATCGACCGGGGGATCAATGGCCCCTTCTGCGTCTTTTAAAAAAGTGCTGCTCGCAGTCCCGGGTCTCACTGGGAAAGTGTTTATAAGGATCATATGTTTAGGTCGTCAGATTGGCAAGGCGGAGCGGTTCTCTGACCGAAAAAGCCAGACGCTCTTTAGAGGGATGGGTGGCTTCTGAAGGGACGGGCTGATCTTTTGCCTTGTGACGGATTTCAGACCCGGTTCGCCAAGCAGTGTTCCTGGACGAACAATTATGGGTAGGACGGTCTAGTCTAGTGGCAAGGGATGGAAAAGGAAAAGAAAAAGGCATAACGAGTGCACTACTTTAGTTTCTGCACCTCGAGCTCGCCGGGTTTCCTCGCACTGATGGCGAGGTAATGGCAATGATCACCAGCCGCATAACCCAAGACGCCAGCGATGGTGTTCGCAAAATACTTCTGCAGTCCGAAGAGGCGAATGAGAAGGTACGGCACGATAGCCAACACGTAGAAAAGCCGAAGCATGGGCCGTACGTTGGCAGAGTAGTCGCGGACGTCAACGTCCACGAAACCAGCGTCCTCGAGCAGCGATTTGAAGTACCCCGGCCGCGCCTTCTGGTAGACCGGCATGGCGGCGAGCTCGTTGACGCGACGCATATCGCTCGCCATCCAGCTCCCGGCGTGGGCGGCGTCGTCGAGGTCGTGGTCGTACTCGAAGAAGGCGGCGTGGCCGCCCGGCTTCAGCACGCGGAGGAACCCCGCCAGCACGGCCTCCGGGTCGGTGGCGTGCACGAGGGTCTCCATGGTATACACGCCGTCGAGGGACGCCGCGGGGATGGTCTCGAGGTGGTGGTAATCCATCTTGCGGACGGAGACCTGGCCGGGCGGCAGGGCGGCGCGGCGGACGTTGCGCTGGGCTTTGGCGACGTGGTGGTCGACGACGTCGATCGCCTGGACGCGCAGGCCGCCGCGCGAGGCCATGTAGAGGGCCACGTGGCCGACGCCGCAGCCGGCGTCGAGCACGCAGGCGCCGGCGGGGAGGTCGAGGGCTTCGAGGAGCTTTTGTTCCATGCGCCGCAGCGGCGGGCCGAGGGGGAAAGGGAAGTAGGTGTCGTGGTCCCAGTAGGCGAAGTGACGCGTGCCGCCGAGGACGAAGCGGTAACCGAGCCGCGATTCAAGGGAATTGTAGTAACTTTGGATGGCTGGGTTGTCATTGATGACGGGAGAGGTCGAGGTCTCCTCGGCGGGTTGTCGGGAGGGGGAGCTGACTGCGGCCATTGTTGCTGAGGGGAGGAGGGAGGGTCGTCGTCGTTGACAGTCGGGTAAGAGCCAGCTAGGCTGGGCTGGAGCGGCGGGGGGTTTCGTGGCTCGATGTTATGAAAGAATATGCAGATCTAGTATCATTATGGAAGTATGGAAAAGTGTGATTTGAGTCAATGGGAGCAGAGTGGGAGCTTGGATATACGAAGTAGAGGTCGATCTCTAGGTTGACGGTGAGGCGTGAAGCTTTGATAGCTCCCCACCTTGACGCGCTTAGTCAGCACATCTGATTAACGGCTAAGGCGGAAGACGAGAAGTAAAAATAAAACGAAATATAACTAAAATAGAATAGACTTCTGAATTGGTAACTTAAAGCGATAATAAACATAGTCAACGCTTCTTTTTCGTCTCTTCATCCTCTTCCCCATATCCTCCATCACGGACAAGTCTCTCATGTCGGCAATCCCAGAGCCAATGCGCCCCTAACACCACCGTACCGACCACAACCCACCAGTAAACCATCACCAGACCCCATAGCTCGAGAACCATGTAGTACTTGTTCGAATACCGCGTAACCAGGTACGTGACATAGACCACAACTCCCAGCAGCCCAAACAACCCAAACCGACCCCTAGCCGCCTGGCCAACGGCACCCCGAAAGAGCGGGACAATGGCGAAACAGAGATAGAATCCCACGCACCAACACTGAGCCAGCACCTTCGCCCACCCGTGTTTCGTCAGAACCCTCGCCAAGGCAACGCGATGATCCGACGACCCGAGCACCGACCTCCCACACGCAAGGACGACGGCGACCACACGACAAGACCGAGCCTGCGCGTACTCGGCCGCAGCAAGCATCCAGACAAGGAACCCCAACCGCGCGACATCAAGCCCAATTGAAATTCCCTTTCCCATCCTCGTCATCCTTGTCGCCTTCGTCTTCGCTTTGCTTCCTCGCGTTCCCGTCTCCTCAACAAGCCACCGAACAGCAACCGCAGCACCCAGCTCCACAAACCCCTTCACCACCACGCCGCGCGCGACGCCCCTCCAGACAGAACACGAGAGGACCTCATCCAGGAAAATATGCGCGCTCCCCACCGCGAGCTTCAAATCCGCCAACGGCGTCGCCGAATGCGCGAAACACGCCCCGGACAACGTCCCCGCCCAAGGCGCCAGCATGCGCCGCGCGTGGTTGAGGAGGATGGCGAGGACGAAATACACACTGGCCGCGACGTACCCTTCGCAAAGCAGGGAAGGGCGAGCGAGCGCCCAGATGGTGGAGGGGCGCGACGTCGCGAGGCGGACTGCGTCGTGCATCCATGGAAGCTGCTTCGGTGGTCTGGGCAGCGTGGCGGCGGCGGCGGTGGGGAGCAGGGGGGGGGGGAGGAAGAAGCCCGCGGCGGTGGTTAGTTCGGTCAGGACGCTGTGCATGGCTGGGGGGATGGCGTGGAAGGATGTTTCTTCCCGGGGTTCGCCATTGTTGTCTTTTGACGCTGCGTCATTGTCGTCGCCGCTAACTTGCGCCCATTCACTCGCCATTATTTAGTCGTTGCAATTAATTGGCTTTTTTTTTTTGGTTGGACGAGCATGCGGATGAGAAAGGGGAGAAGGGGGAGGTGTCTCAGGTGAGTTCGCTTCGGAAGAGTCTTAGCGCGCCTAAAAGGGGCTATTATAGGGTCGCAGACTAAACGGACTACGAAGTACGAGTACCGTTGTATAACCCCCAGACGCCGTCCCGCATCGTACTATTAAAGCTGGTGAGTGACCATACCAGTATAGAGGGGTGTGCACACGCAGCTAATAACTTACAGTATTATACTGAGTACTATATATTGAATTGACGGGAGCGTGCTTGCAGGGAGCGTTGATTCAGGAAATGTATAATTGTATTATCTACTAAAAAGAAAGAAAAAAGGGGGCGGGTATACGTGTCCTAAATATATCTACCACCTTCTAAGCAAGGATAGTAGGGCACCTCTAACTAATAGGAGAGCACTATACCGTGGCTTACGTGATAGAATATAATATACCCCCTAATTATTACGCCGTGATTAGCGGAACGATTACTTAGCCTAACCTTAACCTAACCTTATTTTTAACCTTAAAATAGCCTTAAAGAGTCGTGTGATACCCTTAATATCGAGTTAAAAGGCAGGAATAAAAGCTATAAAATAGTAAAGAATAATAATAATAATAGTAAATAATAAAGGAAAAGTGCTATTAATAGTAGTAGTAAATAGGTAATAGTAAGGCCTTCCGTAGATAAATTAAAGGCGTTATACCGGCGTTTTAAAGCTTTTAGATCCTCCCTCTTATAACCTCTTATACCGTTATTTTTTCGAGGAATTTTTAACGATATTAAACCAATTTTTCCGATTTTCTATTAACAGTAATAAAAGTAATAATAATAGCGATATAGTGAGTATCGGAGCTTTGTTTTTAGTAGCGCGTGCTAACTGGTAGCGTTGTTTAGGCCCCTCCTACTCTATCCGCCGTTACCCGTGCCGCCGCCGCTAAGAAGGCTTCGGCTAATAGTGTGAAAAAGAATAAGGGTAAGGCCGGCACTAAGAAGGGTGCTTCTATAAGTTATTCCGGCGCGTTAGTCTACGATATCTCTACTCTATTCTAGGCTAACTCCTTAAAAGACTACTAAGAGTAGTAGAAATAATAATAATAAGGATACCGCCGATACTTTTATACTAATACCGTTCGACCCTCCCTGCCTAAAGTATATAAAGGGTATTTATTCTAGTAAATAGCGCTTGTTTAATTACTATACTTTAGTTCCTAGCCGCTCTAACCGCTACTAAAAGTATAAGGATAAAAACTATATATACCACCCTCTATAAGTTCTTACCCCCTATCTAAGGCGCTTTACGATTATAATCGTATACTCTATTTCGTATTAGCTTAAAGATATATACGCTATTAAGCTTTACGACTACTAACCTATACTTATAGTTTTTCTAGCCTTATATCCTTAGTTAAAATTCTTTTTAACTTTAATCTGTAAAATTAATAAGGACTCTAATAATAGCGATAAAAAGGTGCGTTTATCGCTTTTATTTCTAAAATTAAATACTCTAACTAACTATTTCGCGTAATTCTTTACTAAACTTAAGTAAACGGTAAAATTTATAATTAAGTTAATAGAGGATAAGGAAAATAAGAAGATCTTCTGTAAGGAAGAACTTAAGGGAGTATTAAACTAGCTTCCTGCTACTGCCTCGGGCAGTAATTCCGCCTCCTAGCTTATAGGAGTTATAATAGATATTTTATAGGAGAATAGTTTTATTATTACTCCTCTTACTAGAGGAAATAGCGTAAATATTACGTAGGACGGTGCTTAGGATAGTACTAATAAAGCTTAGTAACTTTATTAGTATACTCCGATATTATCTTTTTAGAGTTTTAGGATTTACTTTTAGGGTCTAGTATAGTATTATAGTATTAAGATAATAATATACCCTTCCTTTTACTAAATTAACTAAACCGCCGGCGCGCGGTACGCCTAGAGCGCGGGAATTTCGACTTTAACTACTTCTTTCCACCCCCTCCGTGCACTAATTATATTAAGATATACTCGGAAGTTCTCGAATTTTTATCGTGGAAGTACTTTTATTAATCCATCCGCTAGTATTAAATTTATAATAAGATATACGACTCTAAGTAATCCCTTTACGTTCTCCTACTATACCTAAAAGCGCTATATCTTTATATAGCGAAGCCTAGTCTCGATTCTAAAGCTATCGTTAACCACTAAGCGTATCGTTTACATATTATCGTAGTGGATATTCTAAGGAGATTCTAAATTAAAGCGTATTTTAACGAAAAAATGCTTTAAACCTATTATTTCTTTCGCCACTTACTCTAAAGTAAGTAGCTTTACTTCGGTTATAGACGTTATTACCGTTACTTACCTTATTACTTTCTATATAACTAATCTACTAAATAGGCTAATAAGATAACTCTATAAAGATCTTCGTGTGTCTAAATCGTCTATAAAAAAGGCGTCGCTTACGATAACTATCGCCTATAAACTGATACTCGATCCGTACTAAATTAAGAGGTCCCTTATTATAAATAAATAGCGGATAGCTTAGTCTACCGCCTTATAGTGCTCGGGAGAGGGGTTTCTAAGAAAGCGGGAGAGGATAGAGACGGTAAATACTATATTAGGGCGTATTATAACTACTATATAAAGTATTAATCCGACCTTTTCTTAATAAGATTTAATCTCTTAAGCGGTGGCTTTATCTTCTCTTTTCCGGTATTCTATAACAGGAATAGGGATTACTAGGTAGGTATTTAGAGCGTTTAATTTAAACCTAGCTATAATCTTTTCGATATATAAGTCGTAGGAGAGGAAAACCTTATATCGAGGGCGATCTCGAGTAATCTTAATACCTAAAAACTAATCGGCTTCCCCCTTTTCCGATACCTCGAACCTTATTTTAATCCCTTTAATAATCCTAAGGCCGTTTATAGCACTATCTCTATAAAATAATATAAGAATATCGTCTATAAAGAAGATAACGAATACGTCTTAAGCCTTAGTGTAAAATAGGCACGGTTCTTTCTTACTAGCCTTTATCCCTAAGTCTATTAGGGTAGCCGCGAAGGTCTAGAACTATAGTCTAGGCGAGTTGTGTAGTCTATATAGTGCTTTATCGAGCTCTAAGCACTTATCGGGCTACTTAAATCTATCGGGAAGTTCGTATATAACGGGCGTTCCTATTTTACTCCTTTAGGCGTTAACGAAGGCGTTAACGATATTAAGTTACTTAATCTCTCGATTAAACTAAGCAGCTAGGGCTATAATAATACGAAAAGATCATATAGCGAGCATTACTATATAGGTTCCCTTAATTATTAAGCTCTCCTATAGGTCCCCTTAAATATATAAGCGTGCCTTATATCGTTCGAGATATCCGTCTTAGTCGAACTTATAGGTGAAAACTCACTTTAACGGAAAAGGCTTTAACTTCGCCTCTAAGCGCTTAATTTCCCTCTATATACGCTTCTTAATTAGCTTATTCACCTCCTTTTACGCGGCTTCCTTAAACCGTTCACGTATCGGGTAGTTAGTAAGCTCCCGCTAATATCTTGGTATAGCCTTTAGATAATCGCGATAAACCCTACCGTCGATTAAGGGCTTCGGTAATATTATAGCCTCTTTTTTAGTATTCGAACGGGATTTATTTTAGTATCGGCTACTCTAAGAATTATTAAATTAAAGGTTAGAAGCCCTTTTAGCCCGTCCTAGCGCTCTTCTTATTAATTAGACAAGAAAAAGTCATAAGTTAAAGGTATATCTAGCTCTACCTAATATATCCGTGGATTAATCCGAATAGTCTTTCCTTAAGCACGGCGATCGGTGATTCTTACGCTAGCGCATATTACTTCCTTTACTAGTATACTCTTTTTTCTTTAATAGGCGGTTACCTTAGAAGTTGGTCGGATAGGTAGTCTAGATCTAGACACCATAATACGGCTAATACCGTGGTACGGATTAGGGGTAGCTAGTCCTTATACTATCGCCTACATACTCCTTTCTATAGTTAAAATCATCGAAATATCCATATTAAGCTTTAGTATATATAATCTTAGCGTATCAGTTACAGTATCTTCTTAGGTAGCCGCTCCGTTATCTTATTAGTCGGAAGAATTATTAATTAAGAGTTCCTCCGAAGACTACGGCTCTACGCTTATAACCTAAAGATTCCTGCTCTAAGGATCAGGTATTACGCGTAGGGTTTAAAGTCCTATTACGGGCGGTTCGGGTGCACTAGGTATATCTATATCTAGTAGTGGCGAAAAAGCGTCTATTTATACCTTTACTACTCCTACCCCCGAGTTTAAACTCGTAGACTATACTTATTCTCTAGAAGGTACGCTATTAATTAATCCACCCGGAGGGTAAGCCTATAGGATAAAGTCATTATCTTTATCTTCTTATATTTCGTAAGTTATAAGCTAGTTCCTCGCTTCGGGCTCCGGGATCTATTCTACTTCTTCGAGCTATAGTTTATAAAACAACTACTCGTTAAACTATATATTACGCGTTATAATAACCTTCTAAAGCTATAGAATCTATACTCGGTAAATATTATAGGTAACGTAACCTATAAGATACCTAATATATCCCCTTAGTTAAACCTTATATAGTTTTCTATTCCTCCTAGCCTCCCTATCCCTCGCTATTAGATAGGCGCGGCAGCTATAAGTATAAATACCACTCTAATCAGGGCGTAGGTCGGCTATATACCTCTTATTAGAATCGGCGTATTCTTTCTAAACTATAAGTCGAGGATTTCTACTAAGGATTTCTATCCGTACTATTATAAGGGACTTATATTATATAATAACGCTACCGATCTAATACTCTCTAGCCATTTATCTAGTAGAATTCCTACTCCGTTAAGTATAGCGTTTGACTTTATAATAATTAGTTAACCGGCTCTCTCGCTGCCTCCGTTCGGTTTATAGGTATAGGGCGGTGTAATTTCTATATTAATCTCTTAACTACTCGCCTATAGCTAGGTTATTAAATCCTCTACTAGATTAATAATTAAGGGCTCGTTATTACTGCGTATCTTATAGATATATAATATAAACTGCCGATTAACCTATCGTTCGAAGGCTTATAGCGCGTTATAAACCGTAACGCTATTTTTCGAAGCTAAAGGCAGTACATAGATCTAGCCGCTATATTCGTCCTTTATTATAAGAAGATATCGTATACCGTTATAGCTCTTAGGTAGCTCTTAAAGATCCTAATAAATACGCTAAAACGGTTATAGAGAGCGGTATTCTAATATATATCGAGATATAACTTAATATACCTAGGTTCTAAAGTATATCTCGTAGTCTATCTGCTTAGTTCCCTTAATTAACATATTCATAGCGTTATAAACTAATACTCGTAGAGCGCTTAGTCTAAGATAGCCTGCTCTTAAGTGCTATAACTATTCTTCGTTAACTCGTGGACGCGGAGGGTCGCGGGAAGGTCGGTAATATCGGTAAGCTCTTATTAGTCGATCGACTATTATAACTAGTATATACCAATAGTCGTAATTAATCGGAATAATACTATATAGTATCGGTTAGAATAACGAATAAGAAGAAGAAGAAGATAAAATTAGCTTATACTAAAGGATAGTTATATTAAAGCGTCGAAGCAGCTTTAATAAGACTACGCTCTTCTCCGCTATTCTAAAACGTAATAAGCAGTTATATCTCGAATACTAAATCCTAACCTTATATAATAGAGCTTCCGATATAATATTCGTGTAAAATCCCTCCACGATAACTATATCGTTAAGCTCTAAGTTAGCCTTCGGAGCACCTAAAGGTCTATTAAGGATTCCCTTAAGAAACCGTTTACCTTTACTAATAATCGGAAAATCGGTTATACCGGATTCGATAGATCCCTTTATAGGAATAAAGGAACCTAGAATAAGCAGGTCGATTAAGTTAATAAGGTAAGTTACGCCGTAATTATTAAGAAAAGTACTCTATAAAAGCGGGTAAGGGCTTAGTCGGAGCGCGGCGTAGATCCTAAGGACCTCTTCTATAGTATAGATAAGGGCGGGATCTAGGATAGTTATAATAACCTTCCTAGGATATCTATCTCCCTTACTACTACTACTCTCCGAGCTTTCCTATCCCTTTTTTAATAGTTTTTCGTGTAAACTCTTCCACTTTAGAAGCTTAATCTCCTTTCGTATCTCCTTACACCACTTATTATTAATATAGGTATTAGATCTTTACTCGTATTTTCCGGTTAAAGCGTACTCTAGCTTATTATAGTACTCTAGCTTCTAAGTGTATTCGCGTTAATAGGGGCAATTAGTACTCTTCTTCTTAGGCTTTTTTCCGCCTTCGTTATTATTTAAGCGGTCTCCTAAGGTCGCGTAAACGCCGTAGCGCGTATTATCCGTGGTTAGAGCGCTTATAATAGCGTTAAACTCACGGCCGTATATTAGAAGATCGGAAATCTTATCGCCACGGACCTCTTTTATTATTAGCTCCTAAAGCTTAGTTTCTGCCTAAATAAGCGTAAACTTCTATCTAACTACTATAAGGAAGTTCCGAATAGTAGTAGGTCCTTTAATCTCGGCTACCTTTTACTAATATACGCGTCTAATAAGGGTATTCTACTCTGTATACTATATAGCCACTTTAGTATTAGCTCGATAAGCGTCTTATAAATACTTTTCGTATACTCGTCTTACCTCTTCCTTCGTATAAATACTACTTAGAGCGAAGCTACTCTTAAGTTCTTTTATTATATAGCGTAACGTAAAGTATCGATTTTATTTTTCCTCTTTATAGCCAGGATACTTTTTAATAGCCTCTTCGATAGCTTATTAATAAGCAGAGGTCTCCACGGTGGTTTTAAGTAGTTAATTAGCCTTATTAAACGCCTTAATAAGGCGACCGAGCTTTTAATTCTAGGCTATAGTCTATTAGTTCTTAATTTCGGCGAGGCGTATAAGCTCCTATATCGAGGGCACGATGCTATTATCGCCCTCGCCTTAGGAATACTATTCGCGTAGTTAATCCAGGGATTTAGGCATAATATACTTAGGATAGTTATTTAGTCAATCCTTTTAGCTAGAATTAAGTAATGCCTAGACCTCTATCCCTTACGTATACGACTAGATATAGAAGATCTAATCGGCCTATTACCGCGTGGATTTAAGGCGCGGGATACTAAGCGCTTTAGCCGTAATCTCGAGCTTATTCGATATAGTATTAAGTAAAGGTTTAGCGAATAAGAGCTTATTATTAGTAAAGAGAGCGTAAGAGGGCTCCGTAATACTATAGAAGTATATAAAAATAAACGTAGATAATAGATTAGCAGGAAGTTACTAGTTACTACTACTACCCGGGCTTATAACTATTAAATTAACAGGAGCGTGCTTATAGGGAGCGTTAATTCAGGAAATATATAATTATATTATCTACTAAAGAGAAAGAAAAAAGGGGGCGGGTATACGTGTCCTAAATACATCTACCACCTTCTAAGCGAGGATAGTGGGGCACCTCCAACCAATAGGAGAGCACCATACCGTGGCTCACGTGATAGAATATGACACCATACATAGTCGAGTACCAAGCCGAATGCGCGTGTCTGTAATCGAGTGCCCGGTCAAATGCCCATGTCATCGAATGCCCAGTCGAATGCCCATGTAATCGAGTGTCCAATGGAGTGCCAGATTGTATGCCCCTGTAGTTATGTGCTTGTGTAGGTTTGGGAAGGGTATAAGTGCTTCCAGGATTCAGGCATGCGTTTCTCTGTCTTTGCATCCACCTTCGAAAATGTGGAAGTTCCCAGGTGATACCGCGGGGAAGCACAGAGTCCGACTTCATCACCCATAAGTATACTATAGTACATAGAGTAGGGTACAAAAAAGGTTTAAGCGACGGAGGAGCGAGGAGGAGATTGGTATTGACAAGCGGGGGG